CTGTTCAAGCCTGTTTTGTTGTTTTTGTAAAGTTGTAGTTCTGTTTCCCTGATCATTTCTTGTTTGGTGAAGTGTTTCAGTGCTTGATTTTTATGGCATGTTATATACAGCAGGGTAAAAAGGTATTGAGCACGTCACCCTTTTTCTCAGTAAACATATTTCTAAAGGTGCTGTTGACTTGAAGACTTCGCCAGATGTTGGTAACAACCAAAGAAATTCATATATGCAAAGAGAATACATCTAATTAGTTTACAAATGAAGTTCTGTGTAATAAAATGTAATGGCGCAGAGAAAAAGTATTGAACACATGAAGAAAGGAAGGTGTAGTTGGGCAGTGAAAGCCCAGACAGCGGCTGAAATCTCTCAGTAGTTCTTCAGCAAGCCTCTACCCTTCCTCAGTGTAGATCAATATCAGCTGCTTCAGTCCAACATCTACACCAGCAGGAGGATGAAGATGAAGACATATCAGCAAGACGATGATCCAAAACACAGCCGAGGAGACTCTCAGACGCTTTCAGAGAAAGGAAATCAAGCTGTAGAACCATGCTCAATTGGTACTAATGGAGCCAAAGAAAATCTCCCCCACACCATTACACCACCACCACCAGCCTGAACCGCTGATACAAGGCAGGATGGATCCATGCTTTCATGTTGTTGAGGCCAAATTCTGAGCCGAGCATCTGAATGTGTCAGCAGAAATGGAGACTCATCCAGAGCAGGCAACGTTTCTCCAATCTTCTATTGTCCAGTTTTGGTGAGCCTGTGTGAATTGTAGCCTCAGTTTCCTGTTCTTAGCTGACAGGAGCGGCACCCGGTGTGCTCTTCTGCTGCTGTAGCCCATCCGCCTCAAGGTTGGACGTGTTGTGTGTTCAGAGATGCTCTTCTGCAAAGCTCGGTTGTAGCGAGTGCTTATTTGAGTTACTGTTGCCTTTCTATCAGCTGGAACCAGTCTGGCCATTCTCCTCTGACCTCTGACCCACAGAACTGCCGCTCACTGGATATTTCCTCTTTGTCGGAGCATTCTCTGTAAACCCTAGAGATGGTTGTGCGTGAAATTCCCAGTAGATCAGCAGTTTCTGAAATACTCAGAGCAGCCCGTCTGGCAGCAACAACCATGCCACGTTCAAAGTCTCTTAAATCCCCTTTCTTCCCCATTCTGATGCTCGCTCTGAACTGCAGCAGATCCTCTTGATCATGTCTACATGCCGAAATGCAGTGAGCTGCTGCCATGTGATTGGCTGATTAGAGATTTGCGTTAACAAGCAGTTGGACAGGTGTACCTAATAAAGTGGCCGTGTAACATTAAATGATCTGTTAGTCTTGATGTTATACAGAGATCTCTGTGTATTGAGTGCTGATGTTGATCGTGTGTGTGTGTGTGTGTTCAGGAGTGTGTGGCGTCAGCAGCACCAGTGAAAGCGTCAGCGTCTCGCAGCGGAGCCATCAAACCACAGCCGCTCAAACTGGAGGAGGGAAAAGCCTGACCTGCAGGACTTCCTCATCCCGTCTCTCTCTCTCTCTCCGGACTCACAGGACCACCAACCAATCAGATCACAGTATCAGCCATCACATAGAGAAATCTCCATATCTATCTATATATAAAAGTCTACTCTATATACACACAGACACGCTGGTGTTGGACTGTCCGCTGGGTGCAGATTCCACAAGACCGCCTTTATTTATTTACATCCTCCAGTGCAGAAGAACGGTTCCTCCGCAAGCCCACATCACACAGCAACAGGAAGTGCAGCTCACGCATTGCCACGCCCACATTGCCAAACTGAGCCAGCTGATTGGACTCGAGGTTTTGATTGACACATGCTCCGGAGCTGCGGTGTGTGTGTGTGTGCGCGTGTGTGTGTGTGTGACATTGGTCATTTTTACTGGGTACCATGGAGTTTTAACGTTTATTTTTTTTCTTTTTTTAAATATATATATATGAATACAGTAATCATGCCCATCTGCTCTATTATTATTATTATTATCATTAAAGAACACCTTTTATTCAATAAAAAACAAACTTCAACCCAGATTTGAGGACTGTTCAATCACAGCGCGGCTCTTACAGCAGATTCTGGAAACACACACACACACACACACACACACACACACACACACACGCAAACACAGAGAGAGAGAGAGACACACACATCTCACACTGACTGCTTGTGTGTGTGTGTGTGTGTGTGTGTGTGTGTGTGTGTGCAATTGTATATGTATGGATGTTTATGTGTGTGTGTACATGTGTCTGTGTGTGTTTGTGCGTGAGCGTATGTTAGTGTGCAATTGTTTGTGTATCCATGTGTGAGCATGTGCACATCCTTGTGTGTGTGTGTGTGTGTGTGTGTGTGTGTGTATGTATGTGCATACTTATTTGCATGCATGTCTGCACCTGTATACACACACACATACACACTTCAGCATATGTGCAAGTGTGTGTGTGTGCACACTCATACATATACATCTGTGTGGAGGGTGGATGTGATGCATGCGCGGTGTGTGTGTGTTGAGAATACAGTGTGTTTCAGCAGTTTAGTGTTGATCTGTCAGTCGCAGGCGGCACAAGCAATAAACAGCCCATCTGTATAGGTCAGGGTCCGTGTGTGTGTGTGTGTACAGAAGTGTGCGCAGCAGATGTTAATGACTGTGGCTCATCTTCAATGCCTCTCTCTCTTCTCTCGTCAGCGAGTCCTCCATCTGTACACACTCATTCTGCTTCTGTTAGACTCTTCTTAAAGGGCCAGCGCTGGAGTTCCTCACCTTTGACCTTTTGGTTTAGGCCTCTGTTGTCCTTCACATATTCCTCCCTCAGTGTTGTTGCTTCTGTTCAGTGTGTGTGTGTGTGTGTGTGTGTGCGCGCGCTTATATATGCCCTTTGAGAGAAATAAAGCAGACTGTGCTCTTTTCAGCAGAATCCTCCTTCATGTGTGTGTCGCTCCTGATGGTCAGGACGCTTCAGCTGCTCACACCACTGTAGTGCTCAATATACAAACCAAACAGAGCGTCGATTCTTGACTACATCAAGGAATACCAGGGTGTTATAGTCTTTTTAGTGCAGACTATAGTGAAGTGCACGAGTTAATCTGTGTCGATTCTACAGTTGCTATGGTAACACAACCACTATAGTAATTGATCTGTTGTGCTGATTCTACAGTTGCTATGGTAACCACTATAGTAATTGATCTGTTGTGGTGATTCTACAGTTGCTATAGTAACCACTATAGTAATTGATCTGCTGTGGTGGTTTTACCGTTGCTACGGTAACACAACTACAGCCATATAAACAAGTGACTCAGTACTGTAGTTCTGATATTATAGGGTGCATTTTAATATAGTGCACCTCTGTTACTGTAGTACAAACTATATATATATATATATATATATATATATATATATATATGTATACCACAGTACGCCGCTGCATTATTAACAGGGCTGTAGATGCTGTCATATGTACAGTATAATACACTTTACTATAAGACTTATTCGCTACAGATGACTGTAGTGTTTTTCGTCTTGAGGGATCTGGAATGGCTTCACTAAATGAACCAAACACAGTCACAGTCTATATTTATAATGATAATAATAAAGCTGTTTTCTTTAAACTTCTTCAGTGCAGGTCCACACAGTTTTCTGTTGTCGACGATTAGAGTCTGTATTTGATTATTTAGTTTAAGTCATGCAGGATCCCTATCACTGTCAATTAAATAGAGGAGATCAAAAACTAATTCGACACAATTTTCAGTGCATAAACGTTTGAAATGATCATTATGAGTGTAAGTAGCAGATTAGGCTTCCCATGGCCTAGCATTTTGTTCAATAGTAGTAGTAGTAGTAATGTTAATAGAAATTAATTGATGTCAATATAAATATGTCTTATACATGTTATATAAATGAACGTTATATAAATATGTGCACTCAGTTTTCAACATGCTAAGATAATGATCATATAATAAAATAACAGAAATTGTAAAACACTCACTCACACTCATACACTACTATTTAGCCTACCCAATTCCCCTATACCGCATGTGTTTGGACTGTAACCGGAGCACCCGGAGGAAACCCACGTGAACGAAGGGAGAACATGCAAACTCCACACAAACACCAACTGACCCAGCCGAGACTCGAACCAGCAACCTTCTTGTTGTGTGTGAGGCAACAGCACCACCTACTGCGCCACACCTTGTACTGCGTTCCCCGTGTGTGTGTGTGTGTGTGTGTGTGTGTGTGTGCGCGGTGGTCTGGTGACGTGGCTCGGTGACTGAGCTGAGACTGAGCTCCGGATCTGCTGCAGATTCGAAGTTAAACCTGAGTCGATTCCTTTGAACAGTGAGTATCGATCGCTCAAATATATTGATCTACTGTATTTAACAACTCGATCATGTTTAAATTCTACAGTGTGTGTGTGTGTGTGTGTGTGTGTGTGTGTGTGTGTGTGTGTGTGTGTGGCGGCGGGCATGTCTGATCTCGTTATCGCGTGCCTTTCTGACTTCGCTTGAGTGTAGTTGTTGTTTAATGTGGACTCCTGAAGAAACTGCTCTGTGCTGTGGTGATTGTGTACATCCGCAGTGATGTGAGACCGCGCTGATGAGTGTTATCGATCATATTCCTGATCGGAATCGTTTGTTGTTCTTCCTGCAGTTTCTCTGCACATATCAGCATCAGATTATCGTTAATCCGACATATGACTTCACAAATGAACACTTGCTTTTGTTAGTTTGGAAATGAGGAGAACCATGAACTGCACTAGACACGCGCGGAGGAATACTGCTGTTTCTAAACCACACTGCAGTAAAGTGTAGAGTTAGAGTAGCCTACTGTAGATGTTACAATGTTTACAACTCTGAGTTGATCAGTGCTGCAGTAGTAATAGTCAACTGACACACTGTCATATACTTTATTTTTTACTAAATAAACTGATGTAGTGAGGTATAATATATACCCTATAGCTGCAGAGATATACAGTATTGGGTCATTTGTTTACATTACTGCAGTTGTTGTTACCATAGCAACTGTAGAATCACCACAACAGATCAGTTATGATAGTAGTTATGTTACCATAGCAACTATAGATTCACCATTACAGTTGTTGTTACCATAGCAACTGTAGAATCACCACAACAGATCAGTTACTTTAGTTGTTGTGTTACCATAGCAACTGTAGAATCACCACAACAGATCAATCACTGTAGTTGTTGTGTTACCATAGCAACTGTAGAATCACCACAACAGATCAATCACTATAGTTGTTGTGTTACCATAGCAACTGTAGAATCACCACAATAGATAAATTACTATAGTTGTTGTGTTACCATAGCAACTGTAGAATCACCACAATAGATAAATTACTATAGTTGTTGTGTTACCATAGCAACTGTAGAATCACCACAACAGATCAATCACTATAGTTGTTGTGTTACCATAGCAACTGTAGAATCATCACAACAGATCAATCACTGTAGTTGTTGTTACCATAGCAACTGTAAAATCACCACAGCAGATTAATTCCTCTATTGTGTCGCTAACGCTGGGTAATTTACTCTATATTTCTGTAGTGTTGTATGTGTATATCTACTGTACAGTGTATGATTTCAGTGCAGAGACGGTTCAACTGTAGCGTTCAGGATAAGGTTTTCACTCATCCAGGTTGTGTGATGTTAACAGCAGCATGACGGGTGGTGATGAGAGGTCATGTATGTTACGACAGATCATAAACGCAGTGATTTACTGTTACAGCTGTGTGTGTGTGTGTGTGTGTGTGTGTGTGTGTGTGTGTGTGTGTGTGTGTGTGGTGTTGATCGGTCAGTGATGTCGTCGAGAGCGGCGCTGAGCTCAGATGAAGGCCTGATGATGATGCAGGAGCTGGAGGACCGACTGAAGGAGCACACCGATAAACTGGAGCATCTGCATCTGTCTGCGCTCCAGCTGCGGGACGCGCTAACAGGGGTGCGTTCTTCATCATCATCATCATCATCATCCCCATCATCATTTAGCATCGATTCTGAGATCTTCAAAATGCATTGATTTTCTCTCTCACATCGATTCTGAGGCGGCGCAGTGGCGCAGTAGGTAGTGCTGTCGCCTCACAACGAGAAGGTCACAGGTTTGAGCCTCGGCTGGGTCAGTTGGTGTTTCTGTGTGGAGTTTGCATGTTCTCCCCGTGTTGTTTCCCCCACAGTCCAAACACATGCGCTATAGGGGTATTGGGTAGGCCGTAGGGCATGAGAGTGTATGGGTGTTTCCCAGGAATGGGTTGTGGCTGAAAGGGCATCCGCTGCGTATAACATATGCTGGATAAGTTGGCGGTTCATTCCGCTGTGGTGAAAATGAATGAATGAATATTGATTCTGAGCTCACTGTTTACAGCAGATGGCGCTGTAGTGTTTAACTGGACATTTTGGGAAGTTTTGAACTGCAGATGGCGCTCGAGCAGTCAAGCGGTATTCCCTCTGCTGTTAAACACTAGCCTAGAGCGCCATCTGCTGATAAACACCAGCCTAGAGCACATCTGCTCTTAAAAAATAGCCTAGAGCGTCGTCTGCCATCAATATCTATCCTAGAGCGCCGTCTGCTGTTAAACACTGATCTCAGAACTGCTCCACAGTGGAATTGCAGTGCATTTTAAAATTCTCAGAACTGATGCAGGATCAATTTCTGGAATGATTTTTCGCCTCAGCACTCATCTCTGAGCTGTGTGTGTGTGTGTGTGTGTGTGTGTGTGTGTGTGTGTGTGTGTGTGTGTGTCTCAGAACACTGAAGACCTGCAGCAGTGTCTGTCTGAACACATGGACTGGCTCACACACCTGTCAGAGCGCATGGAGAGTCTGCAGATGAACACGGCTGTGTTTGTGCAGGTCAGTGGTCAGATGAAGCTTATCGAAGCTTTGAAACACTTGAAGCAGTGTCAGCGCGCAATCATTCTGTTTTGATGCGCTTAAACCCCACATGCTGGCGACACCTGCTGGCCAAACCATGTCAATGCAACAAGAGCATCCATTAAACTGTCACACACACACACACACACACACT